ATCAATGAACTCCACGAAGCGAAAGGAAGTTCTACTAGATATTAATTATATTACAAATATATCAATTCATGTGAATATGACTGAAAAAAATTACATTTTCTTCCGAAAAGGTGGTGTCTATTTACTTGTGACCACGCTGTATATATATATATAGAAAAAGAGAGAGAGAGATGAAATACAATCAATGGTGTAATGTTAATAAAATACTCTTACGTTCAATAAACTTACTCCAATGTTTTCAGTTGAAGTTCTGTTTCTACACCATTAACACAGTTTTATATTGAATTTTCAAATAAAATGCTTAATCGTAGATCATATTTCTACATTTTAGTAACGGTTATATAACTACGATGTTATAGTTTAGTTAACATAACGATTATAGTTTCGTAATATATAAGATTCATTGTTCATCAAATGTAAATTATAAAATCAATGTGATGTAAAAAGTTTTTGATAACATTTCTGATTTAATCAATTGTTAACTAAATCTACGCAGTCAGACACAGATTCCTATAACTGGCGAACTAAAAGATTATTCTTTAACACGGAACACCCATTTTTATTTTTAAAGTGAGCAACGTTCGAACAGTAACAGTTTACGTTTGACGAAGACTTCAACAGAAAATATCGAACACGAACTTTTAATAACGTGTTGCATGCTAATATAGGTGGTTATACATGTATAAACACACTGTTTATCTGCAGATTATCAATTATAACATCAGTGCATTTTGGGCGTCTAAAAGTTGATTTCAAAATTATTTTGCATATAATTTGTAAATATTTTAGTTCCTAGGTTCATCACTAATATGTGTTGAATGATTTTTAAAGTGAGCATGCGCGTCTAATGAGCGGTTTTTCTTTTAATTTTGTTCGTTTGTAGTTAAGCGCAAAGCTACACAATGGGCTATCTGTTCTCTGCCCACAACGAGGAGAGAAACCCGGTAGTATAAGTCCACAGACACACTGCTGTGTCGTTGGGGAGCTATTTGGAAAGGAAATTTTGTTACTAAAGCGTTTTTAAAGGTTTAATTATTAATTGTACTAAAACATTTACGCGAGTTCTTAGTTAATCTTTGGTAATATGTTTTTTATAAATTCTGAAATTAATATTCGACTTTGTTTTAAACCATCTACTATCTAGTTCCAAGGAATGCATCTTTAGATTAAAAACAAAACTCTTCTAAACATTAATCACTTTAAAAACAAAGAAAAAAACAATTATTTTAATAAAGATACCTTCCTAAAATTCTTTATACAAAATGAACAGACTTTATTAAAAGCAGTACTGCGTTTTGAGCTCTTAAGAATAGGCTACTCTTTTTTTTTATTCAAAGGTCCGGCATGGCCGGGTGGTTAGGGTGCTCGACTTGCAGTCTGTGGGTCGCGGGTTCGAATTCCCGTCACACCAAACATGCTCGCCCTTTCAGTTGTGGGGGCGTTATAATGTGACGGTCAATCCCACTTTTCGTTGAGTAGCCCAAGAGTTGGCGGTGGGTGGTGATGACTAGCTGCCTTCCCTCTAGTCTTACATTGTTAAATTAGGGACGGATTGCGCAGGTAGCCCTCGTGTAGCTTTTCGCCAAATCCATAACTAACAAACAAACTTTTTTGATAGTTGAATTTAAACAAATATTGCAGTAAAAATATAAATAATGATTGAGAAATATTTTAATCTCCAATGTCTCGGGCTCTAGTTTCATATTTACTCACTATATACTATAAAAACGTGACTGTGCCTGTAATTGACATTCCTTCACTGGTCCTTAGTAATGATTCTGATCTCAACTGATACCACGAAGTTTTGGTGCTTCATAGAATATATACAGCATGTGTCTACCACGGGGTTGTTTTTAAGCAAGTCACCCTATCTTCCATAGCAGAGAATGGCATCTACTATATAGTTTCAGTTATAATTCTGACATGCCAGTCCACAATGACACGACCAAGAAGTCACCTACATCATTATGTTTACGAGAACACTGATGGAGGTTCGTGACATTTCCAATGACAGCCTGTGGGGAGAGGTTTCACGTCCTGGTAGTACTACTAATGATCCCAGCTTCAACTACGACATCTTATCGTGTCTGTTGACACACTGCAAAGAGAGCTCTTTATCTAATATAAACGGTCTGTAGTGAAAAAATCAAAATGTCTATCAAACCTCTTTACGAATAGCTGCTGGCTATTGTAACTGCAATATTTAATATGAACCAGTTTAATGCTTCGTCAACGAGATAACAGAATGAGAAACAAATGGATATTTTCTTACAACATATAACGAATAATTAAGCTTCACAAAAGTTTTTCCTGTCTTGTTAACCAGAAATTCTTTGTCGACAAAAGAACACCAAGTACAATGACTTACGGAATACCATACAGGCATGGTTCATTTTACACAAACTATATATTCAAACATTTTAAAATTTTACAGTAGGAAAATAAATATGAGATTTTCTGTTGTGCATTGTCTTTTTGTAAAATCCACGAATGTTAGATTGGCTACTGGCTCCGGGACATCTTTGTAGGTCAGTTTACGGTTGTAAAAGGTGGTCGTTACTTAATCAAACCATTCATACACATTAAACTACCAATTACATTAAAATACAATGACAATTTACGTTTGTTTTACATTATCATACAAGATTCTAGTTCAGCGCTTAACGACAGCATCACCAATGGCATTACAACATTACTAACTCATATATATATTCAGGAAATACTTCTCATCTAGTCAGTTACAGTATAACCTTCAAATACAATATTTAGATTTTAAACCAAAATTTCGTCTTTATCAAATATTGGACATTTACAATGTTCTCGTTTGATTTGCTTTCTTGTGATGACACAATTTTCTTGAACAGTTGTTGGCTCAGTCTGACATGCTTGATGGACTTGGACCAAATTTCCAACCGAGTCTTTAAGAAGTCCACTGTCACCTTGCTGCAAATTCTTTATGCTTATAACATGACTATCTTTCACAACTGAAAGTGGAGTAAAGAAATCTCTGTTTTCAATAAAGGGTGTTTCTTTGGCACTTTTTGATCTTCTTAGTTGTCCTAGTGGCTGGATTCCGCATAACACAAAATCTGTTGCTGGGGAGAGCATCTCAGCCTCTGAAAGTTCGTACCCATTTGAATCTTTAACCTGCCCAAGAAACTCCACAGAGTTTTTCTTTGTCTTTGAACATTCATCAGGCAAGATAATAAGTGTTTTGAGTTTGCTTATATCTGTTAAAGATTGGCTAAATGGTGATTTTCTTAAAGAAGTTTCCAAGGGAAAATACTTTTTATCAAGACCAAGGTTTTCTTGTGTAAGCTGTAGATCGAGGTAAATTGCCGAGTCTGGAGTTATGTCTTCTGTTCCACAAGCAACATTTACATGCTCCACATCTCTCGTGTAGGGTAAGTCCAGGTTCAGCTGGAATTCGTGATGTCGCTGCACTGATGAAGCTACTGGAGAGACACTTCGTCCCATTGGATCAGCGAAGTTGTTGCTAAAGGTCGTTTCATCATTGATTTCCGCAAACAAAGTTTGAGAAACGTTGGCCGATACACCTACAGAATGGCTAGGGAAGAAAGCCACATTAAAACTATTGGCAGCACTTTCGGAACTGCAAGTGCTTCCTTGTTTCCTTGAAACAAAATCCAGAACACTATTTGAATGCCCGGTTTTCAATGTTACGTTACTTAGTTGTTCTGGAGACAACTCAACGCTGTTGTCAGTGGTATCCAAACTCCAACGACTCATTCTTTTAAACCGCGAATGATAAAAGCCAGCCCGAAAAAAAGGAGAGAGGGATGTTTGTACAAAGTCATCTTTGCACAATGTATGTATGCTAGAACCAGCATTGGCCTTCGTGGAGTCGTTTTCATCATAGCTGCTTTTTTCTTCAGAAAGTTCATCTTCACTGATATCTAAATGTTGTTCTGTGTGGGCAGCTGTACGGAATCGGATGAAGCCCTGATCTAGGTACAATACAGAATTAAACTCTCTTTCCATAGGTTTCCTTTGAGGGACCATAAGCTTTTTTGGTTCAGCATCACTGTTATTTCTATACGGTTGACTAGCAGTTTGTTTTGACATATCAGGATATAACAGTGTAGGAGCACTTGGATTTGTTTGTCTTTGTAATTTATCGCTGGGAACTGGTGCCCTCGTGAAATTTTCAGATTCAATGGTATACGTTAAGATAGTAGGTAGAGAACTGGTGTGATTTAGTGGTCTTGCCCCTTCCAGTGGCGAGGTAGAAAAAGCGACATTAGGCTCACCTTGATAGTTAGCAAAGCAAAAGGGGAAAATTTCACTTTCAACCTCCTCGTTTTCGGAAGAACAACAGCAAGCAACTGTACTAGGGGAATCTTGAAAGAAAAAGCTATAACATTTTTGTTGATCTGGTTCGAAATGTCTCATAGGAAGAGTTACAACAAATGAAATGGTAAGGCATATTAAAAGTTCTAATAAACGACAACCAAGTTGGTACCCCCACCAAGTCCACAGCTCAGGCTTTTCAGTCCTGAAGACGTCATACACATAAATTATTCCAAACATATGTAGGGCTACCAACAGGGCATTGAAGACTGCAGTTACGGTGGTTAATCGAACAGCGAGACAGAGATTTGATTTTGGAAGTCTTCTGGGCAGCTGAGCACCCTCGATATGGAGTCTAGTTAAAGCAGCTCGGACCATCTTACCTTCTTTTCTAACTGCTGATGTGTGAAGCTTTCTGAAGGAGTAAAAATACCCTGCTGTTAATGTCATGGCCCATAAAAGCTCTGAAATTTGTCGACCTAAAAGCAACAGTTTCTTTGCCAAACCCAAACCGTGTAAAATATCTGTCAAAATGCAAACTGTAAACTGAAAAAATAGAATTCCTGCTAAGAAACACGAGTTTTGGACACGTTTGGGTAAAACCTTGATTTCTGTGACTTGTATCAGAGCTAAACACAAAACGGCAAAAGCTGACGTAACACAAAGAAAGCCACTGTTGAGTATAAAATAATTCATTACTGGGGAATAGAAACCCTGTGTGTTATATGGATTAAAAAGTAAGTACAAAGCTCTGATAATCCCCATGACAAAAATAATCAAGCTAATACTGATAAAATACCCATTACAAAAAAGTTTTTCAATTCTTCTTAGCCTCAAGATACTTAAAAACGAATACAGTGCTAGTAATCCAAACAATGAACCCGTGAAATAAACGTGGAATCCCCATGCAAATTCCCATAATTTGTTTTGCGATTTACCCCAATCGGAGAAATTTCTAAAAAAAATTTTCTCCATTTCCCGTCATGCGGATTGCATGAATAAATTCTTTTGAAGACTCCATGTTCTGTTTGTCTCGATAGTTAAGAACAGTGCTCGATTCTTCATTCCCTGGTAGAATGTCGACGATAGGAGTTGTAAAGAATTTTACAGAATTGTCTTGTTGGTCATTGTGTAAATGTAAAGTTGACGACGGATGCTCTTTTAAACGTTTTTCTGAATTTAAACGCGAAATGTTTGCCACAACAACTGGCTTTGGTTTTGGCGATGACAATTGTGGTATTTCTTCATAATATTTTGTGGGGTGCTCATGGGAAGATCTTGGTGTTATGGTAAGATGTTCTTTCACAGTAAGTTCTACTTTATTCCGAAGTCCTTCTTCGGTTTTAAGCGCAGCAAATCGACTAGTATCTGGAGAAAAATCTTTGTCATTAGCCGAGAGAGAAAGTACTGCTTCGTCAGTCATCTCTGGATCCAAATCCGAAACTTTTTTTCTGGTGTTATTGAACAATTTATCATTGGTTATATCTGATTCCATTTCCGATAGCGGATTGAGCCTATTTACTATACCATTGGTGAAGTTCCGATGTGTAGGTAAGATGTGAAATTGACTGTCTGTGATGAGTTTCGTTTTCACAATGTCTTCTTGATAATCACTAGACGAAACTGGTTGGGATCTCAATGAATGAATAAAAGACAAATTGTTTTGGTGACTCGTGTTTCTAGTCAAAGACTTTATTGATAGAAGTAAGTAATTCAGATATTTCACTGAAGGTTTTTCACGAGCATTGGACATACCTGCCTTAAAATGATTTGTCAAGCTACATCGGGACTGAAGTTTCCTGATTACACTCGGACCACTTGAAGTAATAAGCTCCGAGGGATTATGGAGTCCTATCTTCGTATAATTATGGACACCTTCTTCAAACTTTATGGTAGAGTTCCTTTGTAAATCACTGTTTTCTGTTAAATTAGAGTCATCTTTGCTAATATGACTCATAAACTGACACTGCCTTCCAAGCTCTCTGGTTATATCGGAGACAAATGTTTGACTTGTAGTGTTATATTTCACGTCAGGCTTCCTAGTAATATTGGAGACATACTTCCCAAGGTGACTTCTGGATATAACTCCAGAAGTCACCTTGGGAAGTATGTCTCCAATATTACTAGGAAGCCTGACGTGAAATATAACTTTTACGCCAATTTTTCGAGTAGCATTGGAGAAGTCTTCTCCAAAGTGACTAGTGGAAATATAATACGGTGCAGATTTTGAGAGAACGTTGAGTATGGCTGATTCAGAATAATTCGTGTGTTTATTTACTGTTGGAAAGCGTTTAGAAAAGTTGGAGTGAGAGGTAACACTCCGTTCTGGATAAAAAGAAACAGCAGTTGTGTTGGTGCTCACACTCCTGTGTGGTCTATTGTCACTTGCAATCTTCCCAGTGCTTGGTGACAGTGTACTGGAAATATTATTTTCTTTGTCACTCAAGAGTGTTTTATTCTCAGTTATGTCAGCGTTAGTTCGAGAGGGATAGGGTAACCTTATTTGGTATAAGAGAGTGGAAAAAACTCCATAATCATGTTTGGTGTCCGATTCCTTACGACGTAAAAGTCTACGGTTGTAACTAGTTGTAGTATCGTTTGGCCAACTTTGTTTATAAACTCCTATTTTTTTTATGATGTATGGCAATGTAGACTTATTATTGTCTTGTGGATGGAAATCATCGTCAGAGTGTAGAACGATATTTTCATCATCTTCCAGAGTAATTAAACCAGTTTCTTTATCCTTTGGTTTGTTACCTAAAAAGTGATTAATTTCAGGAATACTTCTATTTTTATTTTCTTGTAATTTAACGTTGAAATGATCCTTTTTTGCTTCATATAGATGTAGCTTTGGGTTATCTCTAAGAATGGCATGTTCATCTTTATATTTATCCTTAAGCTGGGATGAATCAAAGTGCTCAAAGTTGCTCCGTCGCACGAAAAGAGCCTGTAATTGCGAAGATGGTAGTGCAGTAGAAAAACTTGTATTGATTCCAATGTGCTCATCACCAAAGCGTCTTATTTCTTGGCGATATTCTTTAGCACTGGCATAATAAACGTTCTGTGGTGATGAATAGTTACGTATTGGCAAAGAACCGTTTAAGTTGTCAGGAACATGAACACTTTCCAAGTTATGTATTACTAGAACGGCTATTATCCATGAAGTTGGCCTTCTCATTGTAACCGTTTCGTTGAGAAACCTTCACTGGGCCTTCTGATTTTGTGTTTATATTAAGAAAATATTTTTCTTATTGAACGCATCTTAAAAATCTGCTGATAATCAGGGATGTCTCACAGTTAATACCTTTTCTGTTACTAATCCATCAAACTGTCCAATGAAGAATATGTCAAACAGTTAATACCTTTTCTGTTACTAATCCATCAAACTGTCCAGTGAAGAATATGTCAAACAGTTAATACCTTTTCTGTTACTAATCCATCAAACTGTCCAGTGAAGAATATGTCAAACAGTTAATACCTTTTCTGTTACTAATCCATCAAACTGTCCAGTGAAGAATATGTTAAACAGTTAATACCTTTTTCTGTTACTAATCCCTCAGACTGTCCAGTGAAGAATATGTCTCACAGTTAATACCTTTTCTGTTACTAATCCCTCAGACTGTCCAGTGAAGAATATGTCTCACAGTTAATACCTTTTCTGTTACTAATACATCAAACTGTCCAATGAGTGATATGTCAAAGAGTTAATAACTTTTCTGTTACTAATCGAACAGGTTGCCCAGTCAGGGATGTATCAAAGAGTTAAGACCTTCCTCCTTACGATTCCGGCAGTCCACTCAGGAATATATCAAACAGTTAAAACTCTTCTGTTGCTAATCGTGTAATATATGGCAAATGATGTTTTCTTGGATCAGACATTACACTACAAGAAGGTGAAACAGAAGTCTTCATTATCAAGGGTCTCATAATTCGAGCTTCGCTTTGTAGATTCTGTCGACAATCTAGGTAATCTGACCATCAGTTAAAAAAATTGAACAATTCTTTTACAGTCTTGTTTGTTGCCGTTTCACCTTACTTCAATGCTGCTCACAGTATCGTAGTACATAAATCTGCAAAGAAAAGAACTTTAGTTAAAAGAAATAATCACGTAACCCTTCTTAAGATGACATAAAGTTAAAAATTAAACTGTGTTCTTTTCATAAAAATGTGTAAATCGTGAAACAAATGTAAATAAGGCCAAAGTAAAAAAAAAAAAAAACATGTTTAGCGTTCGGAGTTTTCGAAGAAAGGATGGAGGAGGTCCTTTTTTTTTTAATGACCGCTTTTAAAGAAAGTTTGCACCCCCTTTTATTCATGCTTGTTGCTAGTTTTCAAAGTGTCCATGTCAGACAGAAGTCTT